GGCGCCGCCAACGCACCCCCTGCTCCTCCGGGACCGCGGGAACTAGCCCCACCGGAGCCGGGGGGACACGCGGCAGGAAACCACTGCACCCGCACGGGGCACCAGGGCGTGGCAGGGCCAGGCGTCCCCGTCCCCCTCCTCCCCCCACCCCTGCCGCGGCCGAGCGGTCAGGCGAGGGCAGCCAGCCACCGCGGGGAGTCCATCTGCGGAGAATTCTCACCGGATCGCTTTCCAGGGATGCAATCTACCTGGGGGGTTGTCTTAAATTGAAGTCATCTTGGTTTCAGGTAGATACGGTGTAAGAGGTAGCAAGCAGGACTCATGGGTCAGCAGCTGTGGAATTGCCAGCCAGCATCACTCCAAGGAACGCACAGCAGCTCGCATGATAGGAAGCCCTGCCTGGAGACTACACTGCTTTATAGCAGTGTATTCAAATGGCACATTAAATCCACCAACAATATGAAAAACATGAGTAGCCCAAATCAGCTTGGGAAGCAGGTTTTGGGTTGTTTTTTTTTAAATGGTTTATTCACAGACTAGTTAGCAGCAGGTCCTGTGGTTACTTTCCTGAGAGAGGAAGTACCTACCTACCTGCCCAGTTTCTTGTTTGCACAATGTCTGCAACTGTTGCGGTGAAAAAAGCTTGTGGATTTGGGTATTTTTGTTCTCTCCTTCTACAAGACTTTAAGAGACGCTTGTTAAGGTAGCTGGGGATTTTAATCGTGCTCTAACTCACTGCAGTCTACCCAGCACATCCAGGCTGGCTTCAGCACTTCCAAGAGAACATGCAGAACCAGCCTTCCTGGGGACAGGGACAGAACAAATGCTACCTCCAGCCAGGGCATTCTGCCTTCCATTCCTCTACACCAGGGTTGTTACTGAAGGTGCAAGAGTGCACAAAAAGTTGCTTCGTGCACCTGAAAGACGAGTCAAGGATTCTCCCCACCCAGAGTCGGGCTCTTCCTTGGGGAAGCACCAAGTACCTGCTTTAGATATGCAGCCAGACCCCAAGAAAGACCCACCTAGGTACTTACACAGACCAGGCCAAGCCACTTCAAACTTGGGCAGCTCCATGGGGCTCACGCAGTGCTCACTACAGTCACCTCAAAAGAAATGTTTGGAAAGCAGTAGTTGATCCTAAGGCTGGGGTGTGCAAAATGGCAGATTCGTCCAGCAGCCAGACTCCATTTTCCAGCAACCCCTGCCTGCACAGCTGGGACCAGTCTCCATGGTGACCCCAGCCAAAGCTGTGCTATGATAGCACAAGGCTGAGGTCACCACGGAGGCCAGCCCCAGCCACGCTGGCAGGGCAAGGGGCTGCTCCGGAGCCACTGGAATCTTGCAGCAGGGGCAGCTTGGTCCAGGGCCAAGGCAGAGCTGCAATCCACTGCCTATGCACCCCTGCCTGGAGCATTTAGGCTACAGATTGTGGCTCTGCCCTAGCCCAAGACCAAGCTGCCTCTGCCGCAAGATCCTAGTGGCTCCGAAGTAGCCTCCTGCCCTGTTGCACACCCTGCCAGCATGGCTGGGGCCAGTCTCCATGGCAACCCCAGCTTTGCTATCATAGTGCAGCTGCACTGGGGTCTCCATAGAGACCTCCAGCAGCCATGTGGGCAGGGGCTGCTGGGAAATGGAGTGCATTGTTAGCCGGATTCAGCCTGCAGACTGGACTTTGCTCACCCCGTCTTAGGGCATCAAATGCTGCCTCCAAGCTCTTGACCAACAAATGCCTCTGTGGAAGAAACTCAGGAGTTGGTCGGCAGGTCAGACAGAGCATCAACCTACTGTCCATGACAAGGCATAGGAAGATGTCTGGGTGGGAAAAAGGGGCATTGAGATGCATTGTTTCCAAGAATGCATTTTTTTCATACAAGACCAGGTGGTTTCACTGGGTAGATGGCTGCAGGCCCTGGCTCTCCCATGAAGACGCAGAGGATTTGCTTGCAGTTGTGCTGGAGCTATTCCAGGAAACCAAGTCATTCACTCAGTCCTTTGCCCAGCATCTTTTAAAGATAAAGAAATAGGCTTGGCTTCCTGCTGCTTTCACACCATAGTAAGGATGTGCCTCTTTCCCATTCTGCTGACTTCATCAGTCATACCTCCATTGGATCCACTCTGGCCATGTACCTAGCCTCCGTAGGCCTTCAGTCACTGTCACTCTCATCACTGTCGCTGTCCTCTTTCTCTTTCTCCTTCTCCTCCTCCTTTGGGGCCTCAATCTCCTCTCTCAGGTCAGCAAAGAAGTCGTCTCCACCCCCAAAGGCTTTGCGGCTCAGGGCCTTCAGCTGCCCACCCTTCTTCCTCTTCCTGTAGTCATCCACCACTATGGAGCTGAGTGATGAGATGTCCCAAAACTTCACCTTCTGGTCATGGCCACAGCTGGCCAGGAGCTGCCCAGTGTGAGACTTGGCTAGCTGTTCAATGGGCTCTCCCAGGTGTTGTCCGACACTGCCAATGACCCGATTTGGCAAGATATTCACAGCCCTAGGACAAAAACAGAAGCATAAATTAACATCAAGTCCGCTCTGCAATAGCCATGCATACTCCCACACCCCTTGCATTGATCAGCAGGGGGTTCAGAGATACAGCTTCAGGAAGCAGTAATGTGGGACCAATATTCCAGCCCTTCTGACTGTAACAGTCATGACTCCCTTGGAACAGCTGGAAGCCAGGAAGGAAAATGCTCTGAGAACAAAGCCACCCAGAGAGACAGACAGAAGAAAGAAGGCAGGATTGTTTTTGTTCCCTCCAGTTAAACTGTCTCCATCCTTGGAAGAGATCTCCACCAATGGTCCTTTTGTGGATGCACCTAGAGCAGGGGTGGGCAAAATGCAGCCCGCCAGGACATTCTATCCAGCCTGTGGGGCCCCTAAAAAAAAAAAAAATGTAGAAAATTAATATATATCTGCCCCTGGCTGCCTGTCATGCAGCCCTTGATGGCTTGCCAAAACTCAGTGAGTGGCCCTCCACCTGAAATAATTGCCTGCCTCTGACCTAGAGGGATCCATTAAATTAGGGGCAGGCAATTATTTCGGGTGGAGGGCCACTTACCGAGTTTTAGCAAGCCATCGAGGACTGCATGACAGGCAGCCAGGGGCAGATAAATATTAATTTTTTAAGTTTTTTAGGGGCCTCGCGGGCGGGATAGAATGGCCTGATGGGCCGCATCTGGCCCATGGGCTGCAGTTTGCCCACCCCTGCATTAAATACTTCAGATCCATTCCCTGGTGTCAGTTTTGCTTACAGCATGTCCTCCATGACTTTGTCCCTAAAAATGCCATGGCAAGGGGGATCCCATCCTTCCCTTTGGAACCTCTTCCTCACTTCCACTTATCAGTTCAAGGTCTCTCCTGATAGTTGGCCTGTTTCCTCCCCGCTCCGTTCCCCAAGCCTCCCATCTTGTCTTCCCTGCTATCTGCCATTTTCAAATCCTGTCTTAATATCCTCCCAGCCCTGCAAGAAGCCTCCTTTCCCAGCGGCCCTTCTGGGAGGTATCGGGGTCACCAGACACTCTAACCTGATTACTCCATCAATGGAGCCTGTGCATAGGACATTCTCTGTGACTGGGACCATGCAGTCGATGGACTCTGCCTTCACCGCAAAGCGGTCACTGGTAGCACCAAAGCCATTCCAGTTGAATAGATAAATGGTTCCCTCACTGGAGCCGCAAGCCACTTTCTTCCCCCTCTGGAAGAGAAGAGTTGAGCTGAAACTGCAGCACATCAGGATTTTCCCCTTCCGTCCCCATAAGAATCCTAACAGCAATGGGTCAAAGTTCAGTGGACAAGAGATAGAAGGAGCTCCTTTCTTCTTAGCCCAGAAGTAAAAGACGAAGGGGAAGTAAGCTCATGTATTTAACTGAGGGCATGTCTACAACTGGTTTGGGCAAGTTAACGCCCTTCACTGTCTACCTTACTGTTTCCCTGCAGGAACTTGCAGAGAGCACAGGAAAGAGAGACATTGGGCAAATGGATTCTTTAGAGGAACAGAAAACTCATACAGCCTTTCTAGGAATCACAACCCATACTTGTCTATTCTGCACTTCACTAGTTACAGGCTGTAGACAGTAGGTCTAGGCTCACTAGGAAGTATAAGCCCCACCCCCAAAAGCTACAGGATGGCCATTAGCTACATAGCAATACAAATGACAAAACAGGAACAGGAGTGAAGATCACAACCCAGGGTCGGAACTGTGCAATCAGGGACACGGGTACCCAAGGAAAGAGTAGGGAGGGGTTGGTAAGCTAGCTGGGAGAAGCTGCCTGGTCAGGGACCTGCAGAGGGAAGTCCTCTGTTTGGGTTGGAAAGGCTTGTACTGCAGGGGCAAAGGCCTGCAGAGGGAACCTCCTGTCTGCATGTGGATGTTGGTTGCAAGGCATTCAAAAAAGCCACACCTGGCCCAGCCACAGATGTGTCTTGAATCTAGGACTGCGTGGTCAATAGGCAACTAGCCTACCACTGCGCTATCAGAACAGGCAGGATGCAGAAGGGCCAGTGGCATACTTCCTGTGGTACACTCTGGTGAGTTCTGAACTCTGGCAAGTTGCAGAGAAGTGGAAGGGGTAAGCTGAGGAACACAGCCTCCAGCCCTGCAGCACAGGAGAGCTCCTGAGGAGGGGCAAGGCTGACATCAGGGAGCTAAAGGTTTGTAATGCAGATAACCAGTACATTTAGGCTCAAGTGAGAGCTGGGCAGCAGCCCTAAGGTAGCAGTAGAAACATAACTTTAGAGATCTCGGACTCAAAAGGCTGACTATTAAAGGACCCTGGAGAAGCCAGTGCTGCTCCCATGAGAAACGGCTTTCCAGGGACAGGGAAATTAAGGCCTTTGCTTTATGGTAGGCCCCGTTATACCTCCCCCGCATGGAAGTTGAAAAAACCCACGCAGACAGCACTTGCTCAAAGATGGCCAGTAAGTACTTACCTTCATCAGAGCAATGGATGTTAGGTCTCCATTTTGAGACTCTGACTGCAGCTCAAAGCGACGTCTTTTGAGATTGAAGACACCCATGGTTCCATCGCCACTGCGGGAATCAAACCAGCATGTTGCACTGTCACTTGGATGTGGAACTCTTCGCTTTCTTCCCTACCCTGGCTAGTCAGATTCTTATGCAGACCCAAAGATAACTATATGTAAGGGAATGTAAGTGACCCCCTCAGTTCGGGAAGTGCTTTGGGATTTTCCAGGAAGAAAAATCCAATTTAAAGACTAAGACAAGGGATGGCAACCTTCTGCCATGGGTTGAGCCATGCTTGCAACCTGAGCCCCTGCCACAGGCCACAAACCTCTGACCCCGCCCCCTGCCAACCAAGTGCTCAAGCTGCTTGTGCTTGCCCTCCCTGCAGACACCCAGCCTCTCTGCAGCAAGGGTAAGTGTACGCAGGACAGAGCAGCAGGATCTACAGTGGGGACATGAAGCACTGTGCAGTATGTCTGATCTCCTGTGCTGCTGCTGGTTGGGTCACACCTTCCCCATGCTGGATCCAACTTCTTTGCAGGCCAGGCCAGATCCACTTGGTGAAAATGATCCCTTCTCTCACCCTTGAGGAAGTTTGCTTTCAGCTGCCCCAGTGGAGGGTTTGCAGCCCAGCAGGCCAACAGGAACACAGAAGCCATGACTTTCCCTGATGATGTGGCCAAAAGCAGGGAGCCTAGCATTACCTGGTGGTGAGCAGGAGCTTCTTGTTCTCATCTATTGACATGCCACTGATGTATTCCTCATGCTGCTGCATCTCCATGAAAGCAGTCCCTTTGCGGAGATCCCACACCTTTAGCATTCCATTGTCATCTCCCGTGGCAAACAGGTGCTCATCTATCACCAGTAGGCTGTTCAAGGCAGAGCTGCAGAGACCCCCCTACCTCTTTATAATTATCAGCAGAGTCATGGGCTGACTGTGGCAGCAACAGAACCATTCTACCTTAGGCAGCCCTGTAACTTTTTCCCCCTCCTCACCCCCTCAG